ACCACATTTTTTCCAAATGACCAATACACGATGTTACAAAATCATGCATGGGTACAAGATGTATGTTAAATGCAATATAGACCAATGTTTTTATGTAACAATTGTGAAAAATTAATTGATATAGTTTGAGATTCGACATTGCAACAAATTTTTGAATAGTATCAGAAAAGATTATCTGCAATCATATGGAAGGACTTTTAAAACATTCCTTTCTTGTCCAACTACATACCTGTGTAAGGCCAGACTTCCTTCAGATATTTCAAACAAAACAATGTATTGCATCACACTGAATGCAGAAGCAGATACAAATCTAGCTGTCTTCTATTAAGCCAGATAATACAGATATATCAAAAATGTAGAGCAGTGACACTCTTAGGAAATTTTACTTTGTATTGGAAAATAGAGGTATTTTTAAAAAAATATGCTATTTACTCTAACATGTAATGTGCTTGTTTTTGTTATTTTTAAGTGAGTGATTACATGTTTTCAATTTTTCTCCATTTTAGTATGGTAAATAGTGATAGGTATAACCTCTATAAACAAATGTTATTTGGAGTCCTCAATTATATTTGAGAGTATAAAGGGGTCCTATTGTCAACACGTTTGAGAACCTCTGGTTTAGACCAATCCGGGTGGTTCAAACTCAGAAGAAGCCCTGTCTGCTGGAGGTGGCAAGGAGCTCCTTCCCTTTAACACGGAAGGGATGACTTCGGATGGAGCTCCTCCCCTTTAATACGGAAGGGATGACTTTGGATGGAGCTCCTCCCCTTTAATACGGAAGGGATGACTTCGGATGGAGCTCCTCCCCTTTAACACGGAAGGGATGACTTCGGATGGAGCTCCTCCCCTTTAACACGGAAGGGATGACTTCGGATGGAGCACTTTCCCTTTAACACGGAAGGGATGACTTCGGATGGAGCTCCTGCCCTTTAACGCGGAAGGGATGACTTCGGATGGAGCACTTTCCCTTTAACACGGAAGGGATGACTTCGGATGAAGCTCCTTCCCTTTAACACGGAAGGGATGACTTCGGATGAAGCTCCTCCCCTTTAACACGGAAGGGATGACTTCGGATGGAGCACTTTCCCTTTAACACGGAAGGGATGACTTCGGATGGAGCTCCTTCCCTTTAATACGGAAGGGATGACTTTGGAAAGAACTTCGAGTATTCAAGCAAGACTTTCACAGCAAGCTGGAGGAATGCTGCTGCTGCTGCTTCAGCCAAAAGGAGAGGCACTAAGGAGAGAACTAATTTAATTGTTCAGGGAATTTCTTCCTGGATGGTTTTGCATTCCTGTCAAATCACTGTGGGGCACGCATGTCACTCAGCCAGCGTCTTACAAATGTTCTAAACCCCAACCCTAGTCACATCGCTTCAGCTGCTACCACAGAATTCCCTTCTTCGGACTCCCTGGCCCTTCCAGTTTGTATCACACAACTCAGCGCAGAACTGGCCTACAAAGTTCTCCAAGAAATTCATGTTATCTCCCCCTGGGGATATTTAGTATTTTAGGGCTGGACTTGTTGTCTCATGTATCTCCTTGACGCTTCCCCAGCAATGAGCATCTCAGGCATCAGGACATAATTTGACATGAGAGTGACAGTTGAACAATCAAGATGAGAGTTAGGATAGAAACACTTTCTTTGCAAAAATGGTCCCACTAGACTTTGTCGTTTTCCTTCTCTGAATGTCAGTTTCCTAGTAGGACACACAGCGCCAAGCGTTAGAGTCAGGAGGCCCTGGGCTCCTGTGCTGGCTCCACCACTTACTAGCTTTGTTGCTTTGGGGAAATTACAGTCGCTCCTCGCCACTTCGCGCTTCGGCTTTCGCGGCTTCACTCGCGGTTTTTTCAAATATATTCATTAAAAACTTGATTGAGCCCTGGCCAGTTTGGTTCAGTGGTTAGAGCATCGGCCTGCAGTCCAGAGAGACCCAGGTTCAGTTCCCACTAAGGACTTATAACCTGGTTGCAGTTTGTCCCCGGCCGTGGTTGGTTGTGCAGGTGGCAGCCACTCAATGTGTCCCTTTCACATTGATGTTTCTCTCTCTCTCTCTCTCTCTTCCTCTCTCTCCCTCCCACTCTATCTGAACAACAACAACAAAAAATGGAGGAATGTCCTCGGGTGAGGATTTAACAAAAAAATTGATCGAGAGAGTGAAAATGATACAGCGTGCGCTCGGTTGTCTGAGTCAATTAGACATCCCTGTATTACAATTACAATGAAAATTACTGTACGTATGGACTGTAGGTCTATGTATTCGAGCACCCCAGGAATCCTTCAATGCCAGGTGCAACCGTGATAAGCGAGGGACGACTATACTCAACTCCTTTGAGCTTGAGTTTTGCACGCAGGGAGCAGCCCGCACACTGTCAAACAGAGAGGAGGCTTTCAACAAATGCTGGGTTCCTTGCCCAATTTTCTCCCCCTCCTCTTTAAGGTGCTTAGAGATAATTTTCTAGGACATGTTAACCACAAACCATAACTCTTTCAAAGACATTCTTTAACCAGTGAGAAGTTAATTATACTTAATTCGGTTCCTTTTCCTCTTTACTGTTCTTAGGATGACTTGTAAGTGTTATATTAGCTAAACACATGTTCCATAGAAAGCATTCATTACTAAATCATAACATTCTCCCATCGGCTTAGTCATTCAGAAGTTAAATATGTTTAACCAAATTATTTTCTCTATGTTTTTCTAAAATTTCTTTTGTTTTCCATTCTTGATTCTTGAGAACGATCTCTGTCCCCTTCCTTCACTGTTCTCTTACCTGGTCCTTTGTGCCTCTTGGTCTTATTTTCTTCTCTTTCTGTCTCTTTTCTCCACCCAAGTCATGGTACCTTCAGGGAAGGGGGCTTCTGCGGCAGAGGGATCATGGCCTGGATAAATCAGAACATCAGAATTACTTGGGATTATTCAGAAGCCCACGGTGCTGTTTTATGCTCCTTATAAGCTCTTAACTGAGGCCAAATCTCCAAGCACGAATCAGAGAGAGACAAGAAGGGGATGGTGGGGGCAATGTGAAATGAGCAGAGCCCCTTTCTCTCCATTCCTCCCTCAGCTTTCATTGAGGGTACCTGAGCCTGATTAAGATTGGTGAGGATAAGCCCAGTTTGGCTTAGCGGTTGGAGCATCGGCCTGTGGACCGGAGAGTCCCGGGTTTGGTTCCTGCTAGGGGCACATACCAAAAAACAAAAACAAACAACAACAACAACAAAAGAATGAAAAGAATAAGGATATCTCTGAGGGTGGCCAAGGACAATTTGTAAAAGAATGTGTTGAAATCTTTAAAAGTAGATGCTCAGGGGTTTTTTTTTGCACAGATTCTGATTTAAGAATTTTAAATAGAGCCCCTGGTGATTTTTCTGCACACTTCTTGAGAATCAGAGGTAACCTGGTCTTAGCACTTCCTTGTCCTTCTCTTTTTTTATTGAGTTATATTTGACGTACAGCATTAGGTAAGCTTGCAGTGTACAACATATTGATTTGATAGATCTATATTGCAATATGATCGCCATAGTAGGGTTAGCTAACACCTTTATCCACATTCTTATAGAATACATATGGCATAAAGTTTCTGCTATGCAGAGCCCCTTCACATTGATTTTCTCTTTTGATCCCCAGAATAACCTTGTAAAATAGATTGAAGCAGGTACCTTTTCCCCAGAAACGTGCCCTAAATTTTAACCCCCTGTGCAAAGCCAGATATCAGCTGTGGGTCAGGCTTGGCCAACTCCAACCACCTCCTGAGTGGCTTCTATTTGGGAACCAGGTAGCCAACAAAACAACATCTGAACAAAAATAGAATTAGTCCATGATTTCCAAAAATGAAGCCTCGGTGAGCTGGCACCCAGTGGCTGAGGGCTTATGAGCACATATGAGCTCAAGGAGACAAAGGGGACCCTCCAACCAGGAAGAAAGGTTAAGGAAGGCGATGTGCCATTGCCTGTCTTTCACTGATCCTCCTGGGTTAGATGTTCATGCATATCACACACAGATGAGTCAATAAAGCTCTAAGCATTGCCTCTAAGTCCAAGCCAGACTCCCAGCTCCTGCCTTCTGAATGCAGTTGTTGACGTCTCAGCTGGATAATGTAGAGTGAGATCAGCAATGTTACAGTTACCATGATGTCAAACAAAATCAATGAGTACAGATTATAAAGCAAGTGTAACAAGTTTTGGGGGGACTGCAGAGCCTGGAGGAGGATTCTAGTGAGAAAGGTCAGCAAAGCACATCCGACTTGAGGCTCCAGGTGACTCCAGTCAATAAAGAGAACAGCTGCAGGAGCTCCGTCCCTTCTAGGACAGGGGGAGCAGGCTTGGCATGATCCAGGATTCAGTTCCTTCCCTGCGGGGCCAAAGCTGAACACCTGGCTTTGGTTTACGTAAGTCAGGATGGCACGTGGACTGGGGTTTCCAGCCAGAGGGGCTCACTGGCTGTGGCTTGGCTCTAGTAGTCACATTAAATTAAAGAGGAAAAGCACTATTCTTCATACACATGATCCTAGTGTGGCATTATCTTTACAGTCTCCTGGCAAGAACCTGGCCTTCTTAGCATGGTCTTCAAGAGTTATTGCTTATGCTGTTCCACTGGGAGGCAAAATACTTTAGTTACTTGTGTATGATATCTCACACCAGAAAACAATGCCTTTTCAAATTCCCATAGCATAAACATGGCTTAAAATAAAAGGAGCGAAGAGACTAGACTGTAAAGCATTTCCCCATTCATCTAAGTCATTCTCAGTATTTGCAATTTGGGGTAAGATTGTGGGAAGCCTTAAGGGAAAATGCTGACTTCCAAGGGTTCTCAGCAGAATGCAGGACAGACGGAACTCAGAAGCCAGTTGCCTCTGACCACAAACCCTTCTCCAGGGAGACCCCAGACGTCCTTGAGTGTGTAGTAAAAATTATGTCTATTTTCTGCGCGTGCCATGATGTGAGCAATGTTGGCATGCATGTCAAAATGTGACAAACTTACCTGTCTGTTCTCTTCATCCTAGCTGTACCCAAAACGATGCTGCTGTTTACCAAATTTCTGCTAAAAACTGTTTTGGAATGATCTGCTGTTCTGCTTCCATTGAAGTCGAGTGCTCGTCAGAGAACACACAACTCCTGTCTAACCCGAAAGATGATGGGGACACAGGTGGGAAATGTGAGACACAGACATATGAGCAGAAAAGCACAAGTCAAATTGACGAGAAAGAACCTTCTAAGGAAGGAGAGAGTCTCTCCTTGGGGACTCCCATGTCAGCTGAGCCCTCCTCCTCCAAATTTAACCACTTATGCTCACTGCAGTTACTGACCAGTCATGACATTAACACATCCAGTTCTGAAAATCCCGTGGATGTTAAAGGAACAAGGCAAACTGGAGAGGCTTGGGATCCGAATAACACAGAGAGAACAGCTGATGGGTTGCTTTCTCCTAATTCAGGTCATATTCCCAATAAACAGGATGTATATCACCATGGGACAGCGCAGTCCAAATTATCAAAGTTAACGGATGGTGCCTTAAACAGTGATGAAGACTTAAGCTCTGGTCATCAGAGCCCCAAAGCACAGAAATGCATCAGTGTCAGCCTACCACTGTCGGAGGCAGCCACATCCATTCGCCCAGGTGACAGGGCCACTGTCAACGACCAGATCAGCCCACAGGCTTCCAGCACCGACTCTGACAGTGACTATGAACTTTGCCCAGAGATAACCCTAACCTACACGGAGGAGTTTTCGGATGATGACTTGGAGTATCTGGAATGTTCCGACGTTATGACGGATTACTCTAATGCAGTTTGGCAAAGGAACCTGGAGGGGACCGAGTGTGTTTTTTTATTAGAAAGCGATGACGAAGATATGGAATTCGGCAAGTATTGCTTGGGGGAGTGCGAGGCTTTTCTCAGTGAAATGGGTCGTGGGCCTCGGGTGTCAGATAACAGGGGACGGATGGAGGCCTCCCCTGATCACTCACAATCCCAGGGAGCGAGGGGGGCAAGGCGCTGCCGAGCCTCCACCCACAGTCCCCCGTCCCCACAAGCAGGGATGACTCCGACTTTGGGATCTCACGAGGATGGAACGTCTGTGGTGACAGAGCAGGGGACATATAAACGACCCACTGCTTCTGCTGACAATGATTATCCAGGAATTCAAGGAGAAACCAGAGAGAGCCACCAAGCAGGGGAGGAATCCGCCAGGGACAGTCTGCTGGCCATGGATGAAGCCGCGCCGGGCAGAGAGGGGCAGTGCCTGTCTGCCGAGCTAGAAAAGGCAGGGGTGAACCAGTGTTTGGAGATCGTGGCGGAAAAAGGACCAGGGGAGAAGGATTTCCGGAGCAAGAGGGGCTCAGAGAAACCTGCCAGGGGAGGGCGACCCGGAATTAAGGGGAAAGCCAAGAAGCTGAGTCCCAACCTGAAAGACAGTGCAGCAGAAGGCACCCCCAATCACCTCTCCCCCCAAGAGCCTGCTAAGCCCCCACTAACCCAGACTGATAAAAAGGATGCCCAAGCGGAAGCGCCAGATCTGAATTCCCAGCTCCTTACGGAAGGTGCTGCTCTAACCCGAGCAGAGCAAGAAACAGAAAGGCTGCAACGCCCCCCTGGGACACTCCCCCAGGAAGGAAGCTGGAGCCTGGTGGGAGAAGGGGTGCAGGTTAATAACCTCCTGGAAACAAAGTGGGTTCCAGACCAGACTGATCATCCTCAGGTAAGACTCCTCTTTTTAAAAATTACAAGGGGCAAGGGATTTGCGTGTGTCTCTCCCTTCACTTCCCATTCCCGATTGCTGCCCCACAATCCAGTCAGGGTACTTGCGAATGACAGCTGCTGCTGCTAGGAAGGAAATCTGGGTTTGAAAAAAGGCCCAGATAAACCCTAAGCCCTCCTAATTATAGCAAAAGACAGATAGAAGTGAGAGGCACTAATGGGATGCTGGACAGCTGGAAAAAGAAACCTGATATTTTGTCTACTGCATTTTTTTTACCAGGCAATGTCACTATTCAAAAAGTTTTTCAAACACATGTTTTGGGTGTAGCCTTTGAGACAAAAACAAAAACAAAACATTCTCCTTAGTCATTTGGAAGGGGGGCACTTGGAAAATGGAAAGTGCTGGCTTTCCTGAGAATCTGTAGTGTAAAGGGAGATTTGGGGCGTCTGAGGACTGGTAGAATTACTTGGTGATGCTGGAGAGAGGAGACAGAGTAGGTCTTGTTGTGTTGGGATGTTTGATTGGATGTGTGTTTTATTTTGTTTTGTATAGACCTCAAAGTGTAAAAGAGTCTAAGAAAACACTGCTGGGAAGTATATTTATTTTACCCTGTTACTGATTTGGGGTGTATTTTAAAGAGGTGGAATTAAATTCATGGGGATAATTAATGCACCGATGATGTTGTACTTGATGTATGAATTTATTATATTTTTAATTTTAAAGGGTTCCAATGGGCTCTGAACTGATGCTGTACTATGGCCAAGATGTTATTATATAAATAAATACATAAAAATAGTTAATTATCAATTATTTTTACTATATCTTCCCCCAACTTTGTAGTAGGGACCCAGCCTTGTTTTTATAGAAAACTAGACATACTCCAAAGGAAAATAAAATATTCCCAAATGCATTCAAACTTATTAAACTCTCCGCGAAAAAGTAAAAATGTAATACCTTGATTTATAACGACACAGCTATAAAATAGGCAATCTAAAAAATCTCTAGATCTGAGGCAGCTTTTTACTGAGCAAATTGTTCTGTTACATTGGCCAAATTGATATATAAAAGCCCCATTTATACTTTATTTTTTGCACGAGAGCCAGATTTATCCTATTTGGTTGTTTAACACCCAGTAGTTTGCTGAGCATGACCACAGATTCATGCCCAAGACAAGTTTATAGAGGTGGTTTGGCCAAATAGTAATGCAAAATTCAGTTACAATATTAATTTTTGCATGAAAATAAATATAGCATTTTCTTTTCTATTCACAAAGTGCTCTTACTAGCTCAGCAAAGTGCCTTTGTACAGTTGTTTACCCATAGTGAGCTTTCCTTTGGGCAAATGAATTATTAAAGTTTGGGGGTGGGTGGGTGTAAAGCAGCCAAGAAGGAGTAAGTAGAAGGGAAGGGGCAACTGAAACTGCTAGTTTTAGACCCGCTACTGTGGGAGGCATGTCTAGCTCCCTCAATCACCCCAAGTTGAGAGGAGCTAAAAGAAGGAGCCCCCTTGTCATCCTCAGCTTGTGCCTGAACGGAAGTTTGAGATCTAGACCCCTGTTTACTAGGAGGCTCATTTTTTTATTGGCAATGCAGCTAAATACAATGGGTCATCTCTGGGACCAAGGTGTCTATCTTGTGCACATTCTTTCTCTATTGAAGTTCTTTTTTAAAAATTCTCTTTATTATTTATTGATTTTGAGAGACACACAGAGAGAGAGACATTGATTTATTGCTCCATCCTTTTATGCATTCATTGGTTGACTCTTGTATGTACCCTGACCAGGGATCGAACCCACAACCTTGGCCTATTGGGATGATGCTCTAACCAACTGAGCTACCCGGCCAGAGTCTATCGAAGTTCTTATGGGACTCTTGCTCACACACTCACACACACTCGCACATTCATGAATGCACACCCAGCTCACCAGCTATTCACTCGCGGTGCGACCTGTGTTGTATGGCATGACTGTTGTCTCAGAACCACGAACATGACTTTTGAGAAAGCTTCCATCTGCAGGCAGTAGATCCCTTTCTCACTTTGCTGTGCTCAGCAGCGGAGCGGAGCTCTCACTCAAGGGACAACCAGAAATGTGAATGAGAGCTGTGCATTCAAGAGCAGTTGGTGCGGCTTGAAATTAGACACAATGACTTCACCTTGATTAAAGCAAGAGAATTTTGCCACAAGAAGAGTGGCCTAGTGGGTCCAGATTCTTTTACCCGTGCAAAATGTTACTGTCGAATTGCAGGAGATGTCTGTGTTTCTAACACACATATGCAATAGAGCCAACTTTACAGCAAATGGCTAAATATCCTTGTAAACGCAACACGAAAGCATTGGGGGAAGGGTCATTCACTGGGAACAAAACCAAGCTTTATAATACTGTTCAAAAAAATAAATATTAATGAATCTTTTCATAACGAAGTCAAAAGACATTTTAAATATGTATTCTCAGACATTTGAGGCTTGTGGGAATTTAAAATTTTGCAATGATTAAAAATCCCTGGTTGGGGGTAACATTTAGTAAATTTACCCCTTCTTGACTCTTGCCTTATTCACTTACCTTTAGGAGTCTTTTGCAGAGACAGTGACCAGCAGCTTATCTTTTAGTACTTTCTCTTCATCTGTTTGTTGCTTTTAGTATTCTGGGGGGAAAAATCCCATCTCTCTAATTCTGCATTGTAAGCACAAGCCTATGTTGTAGAATATTTCCTGCCTTCACCTATGTCCCCAGGTGTCCTTACTTCCTGTCTTCCTTTCCCACTTTTACAAAGCAAGGCCATCTTGTTCCGATTTGTCTTGAAATAGTCCTCACCCAGGCTAGGCTTGGAAAGACCCCAATTTCTCTACATTTATGGAAGATGCCAAAGAGAATCCCAGTGTGGGAGTGGAAAACAGAGAGGGTACCCCAGGTTAACTTGAATCATCTTCCAGGCTATACCGCCAACCCTTCACCTTGGTTTTGATCTCACTTTTCTGATCCAACTCAGAGGCAAGACCTGACCAGCTGCCCATCTTAAGTTTCCCTGTAGCCACACTGGGTAAGATCATCCTCACTCTTAAATCAGAAGTGCTATGCCAGTCCTTTGGCAGAGATTGCCAGCCTCACCCCAGAGAGTCTTGCATTTCTCTCTGGGGTCATGGGGTCTCAAGTGTACAGTATGGGAATTCTTCTTAGGTTCTGATAGTTAAGAACCTTTCTGATCAGAAATAAGCACTGAATGTAGAAGGTGATCTCCATGGTGGCAGGGAGTTTGGTCACTGTATTTTGTTCACTGATATATCCCAAACCTTTGGAATAGTGCCTGGCCGCATAATAGGCACTCAGTAATGGAGTCAGCAGTAATGATTCTAGATTAAATTCCAGGGGTAGTCAGGTATGATCCTATGCTGATAGATCTCAACTGCTTTATGACTTTCATTGTCATAAGTATACTTCGCGGCTCCCTTCACACAGCAACTTTCCATGCGGGAATTGCTCCCCATTGCTGTTTTGGTCCTGGGAATGGATTGGTTTGTGCTAGAGCGTCCATACCTGGTACTGGGGTTCCCCTGTGAATGTTGGTGATTTGCATACACCCTTGGCCTGATCAATGCTAACTAGATCCAGGAAGATCTCATCATATCTCATCTCAGCATTCAAGACCTTCCACAGCACTGCTTCCATCTACCTCCGAGAGGCAAAGCAGGCATACCCACTGGTTCCCGTATCTGGAAAACGGAGCGTTTTCTCAGATATGTGGTGTGTTTTCCATCTTCTCCGAAATGCCCTTTCCCGGCTTGTTGCTAGCTCAGCTCTTCTGGTCCTTCAAGGCCCAAATCCTGCAGGGCCCTTCAAGCGGCACCTCCCCGAAGTGCTTTCCTCACCCTTACCTGTGACTTCTCCTTCCAGAGAAACAGATTCCTGACCACATGCTTTGTGTAGTGCGGTAGGCTCCAGACCCGAGTTCGGTTCCTGCCCTGCCGCTTTCTGACTCTGTGACCCTGGGAAAAATACCTAAGCCCTTTCAGTCCCCGTTTCCTCCTTGAAAACAGAAATAATAATAATAATAATAATAACAATAATAATACCTCCTTCTGTGTTGTGAGGACTGAAGTCTTGCCTACAAAATGCTCAGCATCGTCCCTAGTATGCAATTAACATTTAATAACTATTATGTTCTTTACTTTGTGTATTTACCTTCTTAATACATATGCTCTTTCTCCCCATATTAAAGACATAGTGATGGCTGGCTGCAAGTAGCTTTGCACCTCTTTTTGACTGAAATTTATATGAAATAATTGTCTATTGCACACGCAGTTGTGAGAAATGACAGAGAGGTCGCTGTACAGTTTGCCCCCGTTCCGGTTGGTAAAGCTGTAGTATAACATTGCAACCCAGATATTGACAATGATAGCATCTACTGATCTTACACAGATTTTCCCAACTTTAGTTGTGCTGATGTGCACGTGTATTAAATCTATGCAAATCTGTCACCTGGGTAGGTTCATGTGATAACTGTGGTATGAAACTTCAGTTTAATCTAAGTCCAGCCTAGTAGCGAGGCAGGCAATGCCGGAGCAGGGTATACAGCAGCCTGAAAATATGCACGGCCAGATAGCCAGGGACAGGCCGGGCACATAGGTCTCCAGCAAAATTTTTTTTAAGCATAGAAAAATACAAGCAGATAATCCAAACCTTCTTACAATACAGTTTTCATATCTGGGACAGCACAACCTGAGATCTTGGATTCATTTGCATAATAAGATGTGTCCCCACCAGAATAACAACTGTTCAAACCGACTCCAGGAGGCCGATAAGCCAGCCCTCTGTGGTGCTGGGATGGGCAGAAGGTTGTGAGCGCTCATCTCTCGGCACCTGGCAGTCGTGTCTCCTGTCAGCCCTACTCCTTGGCCGACCCAGGGAGTAGTCCAAACATTTGTTTTGTTTTCAATCACAAAGCCTGAGGTGCCACTCCTGCCAAATACCATCACTGCCCTGGACCAGCACGATCATTGGATGC